ACAAATAAATAATAATAAAGAGCCACCAAGGCAAGCCTTGTGCTCGTGCCCTCATCAGTCACAGTGGAACCAGCAGCACTGCACCCATTCACATCTTTATGAAGTTAAGCCCATTATAACCCTCTGAGTTTCCTTAAATAGTTTTTATTCAGCAGGGTGCTCCTGCCCCCAGCAAACCACGGGGCCTTCAAGAGCTCTCTGCATGTTCTACTTTCCACAGCACCGGCTGTTTCTTCTAAGTTCTCAAAATATAATCTCACATTTAAAGTTATTATGGCTGCCCCACTCTCAGAAATCTATTGGCACAAAGTTTAAAATCCAAATTGTCGCATAGTACAGCAAATAAATTCCCCAGGACACCTCATCAACTCAGCCCCAGCCTTCAGTGGGCCTCTCCATGTATAATACTTCGACAATTTGGCTCGAGGTGATCCAGAACAATTTCCTCAGAAGGGCCAGAACTTCAGTTTGAGGGAACACAATTACAATTGATTTCACTTAATAAAGTAAGCTTCTTTCTCAAGAACACGTTGCCACTGTTTTTCTTCTCCTGAGGCTTTTGTCCTCTAATTTAAGAAAACAAAAAAAAACCCCAAATAAATACAGGACCCAGAGAAGTAGAGCACATTTTTTTCTTTTAAAGTTTTCATACATGTGGTTTTATCTTCTTCACTCTTATCTGCCTAAGAGTGAGATTCTTTCAGGCACATATGTGGCCAAATAAACCCGCAACAGTCTCGTATCTGAACTGTAACACCCAGTGTCCACTGGCACATAGAAAAACCAGTTAAAGACAACCACAGCCAGAGGAAGAAAACAGGCTCCTATTTTGTTTTAAGAATCACAGATCCCAAAAGCACGACTTAGAGCCTGATCCACTGACAAAGACACTTCAAACAGGCAAAACAAGCAGCAGAAAAGCCTGACAGCCCTCGCTGCGCCCAGCATACCAACCGGGGCACACAGAAATCTCTTTCACATTGTTTTGAATTCACCCTGGCAAAATCCTTCACCACGGCCAAGGCACAAAACAAGGGCTGTGCGAACGGAAAAGCTGATCCCACCTCCGGGCCGTCAGCGTCTCCTAATTCAGTGGCTGAATTAATTTAATTTAGCGTTTTCAGCCCGCCGAGCCCTGACCCTTCCTGTGGCACCCAGCGGGCACCGATCCCCCCGCCGCGGGCCGGGGAACAAAAGGCCGGGAGGGCCGGGACGAGGGCCGGGGGCGGCAGGGAAGGGGGAAGCGAGGGAAGGACCGGCAGCGCTTCCCGCAGCCCCGGGGGCTCCTCACGCACCGGCAGCTCCACGGCAGGGCCGAGAGCGGCCGGCGGCTCCGGGGACCGGAGAGTCATTAACCCC